TGTTGGAGGAAGGTTCCACGGTACCAATCCTGATGCAGAAAGTACCATGATTCCGATTCCTAAATCTTTTCTCAATGGCAGCACTGCAAGCTACCAGCTACCGCGATTACATTGTTTGCACTCAATATTATGGATAATAAAGGAGGGCTAGAAGAAGAAGAAGACATTGTTTGTTTGGACGCTTCGTTCTTCATCAATGACAAGTATGCATCTCCGTGTGTATAGATATGGATATTGTTTGTATTTCCTTCTTCAATTTTGGGTATTGAGTTGCTTCTTGCAGCTATGAGCTTACGACGTTCTCATTCGGCTCTCAAGTTCTTCAGCTATACTGTCTCCAATCAGCTTCCAGTAAGCCTTTCTTTTCTTCTTCTTCTTATGAAATTAGCTAATATAACAAAGTAAAGCTTTTACCATGTAATGTCTTCTATGCTCTATGTGCTGGTTGAGAAATGTCATTATCGTCTTTCTCTTGAGCCTTATCATTGGATGAATCTAGCATTTTAACCCATTGAAGCCTTTGCCTGATTAAAATTGATTGATTAATCAATGCATAGCATATCGTGCGGCAAAGCTATATACTCCGTATGAGGTATGGATATTGGGTGCTTAACTGAGTTCTGTTGTTTGGCTGAACTCCAATAAACTTGTATTTATTTCTTTGATGAGGACTCTTAAAGAATAATAGATTGATTCAGTGTCAGCACCTGACTGTAAAATTAAGTTACACTGAGACTGTTATGTATTTGATTTTTTCTTCTATGCCCTAATAAGTAATAACACAGAAATGTCATGACTGAAAGTGTGTTTCTTTTCTGGTGGCTGGTGTTTTTTTTCCTATTCCCATGTATATTGCTACTTGGAACTGACTACATGCATAATGCACGTCAGCTGATTTTGATTTGACGGGACAGATGGTGTGGCCTGGAGCAGTGCTCTTGAATGATTATCTTGCAAAGAAGGCTGACATCATCCGAGGGTGTTCTGTTATTGAGCTTGGATCTGGTGTTGGTTAGTAATTCCATAAAGATTTCTTTCTTTACATACCCATTCTTCTGTTGATGGAAAGGGAGGAGTTTGGACATACTTTGAAGCTGTCATTCAAATGTTTTTTGGTTGTTCATGAATGCAACTTACTCCGTATGTTTTTATATCAATTGAGTGAAGCTTTTGGAATTCATTGTGAAGTGAAAAGTAATTTAAAAAAATAGAAGGATGTCTTATTTTTCGCCTTAACTGTAATGATTTTTCCTCACCTGATTTCTTCCTGTCTCAATCTTAATTCTTAAGTGTCCTTTCCAGGATTATTTCTAGTATCAGAAAACCAATCCCCCAGTCCAACCCTCTAACACAACGTCTTCTTTCTTTCACCATCATTTACCTAAGGGGTTTTCCCCTACATCAATTTTATTTGGCACCCATTTACTATTCACTAATGTGAAACAATTGAAAGTTAATTACTATCAGTTCTATTATGTTAAGGGTTTTGAAAGAGATTCTACCAGTCGGTTTGGATGGAGGTTTTCGGAGAGGAAGACTTTTGAGTGCGTAATCAGTATCTTGATGAATAAATTGTTGAAAGGAATAAAGGGCAATTGAAATGTCATATGATCGCCTATTATATATTTTCTTCAATATTTATAAAATCTTCAAATGTACATCAAGATATAGACTGAGAACTTCAAAACCCTCCATAATTATCCATCCAAATTGACACTAAGGGCATATTTGGATGGAAAATAGAAGATTTATAAGAAAAGGTGATTGAAAATTTATAGCGTGTTATCTTTCATTTTTTTTTTTTATAAAATCTCAAATATATCAAAATATAGACTAAGCTCTTCAAAGCACACCCCTCCAAATCCCTCCATCCAAATAGAGACTAAGAGAATAGCATCAAACCGAGGTCTTTTTTCCCATCACTAGAGTGATAATTTAAGCATTTGTAATTTTGTATTGAAACAAGGAACACTAAGGAACACTTCAAAAGGAACATTCGGACAGACATTGCAGTTATCTCTAAAGATGGGTAGCTTAGGGCATATTTGAAGATGGAAATTGCACAGCAGTTTTTCTCAACACTCTTTTGTTTAAAGAGGAAGGTTCTAAAGAGTACTTAATGCAGGTATAACTGGAATATTGTGCAGCAAGTTTTGTCATGAAGTCGTAATGACAGACCATAGTGAGGAGGTCCTAAAGGCAAGTTCAAGTGTTTGCATTTCAATAATTTACATATTTTCACAAACCTTATTAACTCAGCACCTAATGTTTAGAACAATTTCAGATCCTGAAGAAAAACATAGAGCTGCATTCTTCTGAGATATATACTGGTTGGTAAACAAACTCTTACAAACAATAACTGATTGTGCCTTCATTTCCGTGTCTTTAATTGCTTTCAGGTTTAAAAGCCGAGATGCTGGAGTGGGGCAATAATGATCAGCTCAGTTCTATATTAGAAAAGCATCCTGAAGGATTTGATCTAATTCTAGGAGCTGACATTTATATCCTAATTAATACTTCATTTAGTTTCTCCCCTTTATAGGTTCTACTACGCTATAAGCATATTTGTTTTGTTTCATTCAAAACTAATGATCATATTCATACTTATTTCCTTATGCAGCATAACTTTGTCCCATATAAGTGTCTTATCATACCATGATATTTCAAGAACGTCTGGCCTATGTATTAAAACGAGTTTACCCATTGAGTATATTTTTAGAGGCCAAGTTTCTTTTCTTTTGCAATAATCCTTGACAATTTGCAAGTTTTCAGCAGTCAAATGTTCCTTTACTCTTTGATACTGTGGAGCAGCTACTCAAAATCCGTGGTGGAGACAAATGCAAATTTATCTTGGCATATGTATCACGAGCAAAAATGTATGTACATCTCTGCATCTGAATTTTATTTTGCGGCTCTGAAATCTGAATTGCTGACCAGTTTGTTATAGATGCTGTTTTATAGAAAGAAACAACTTCATTTTGATAAATAGATACAAGGTATCTATAATTTTACCACTGTGAGTTATATTTCTCTTTTCTTTTTTGGTTTACTACTGAAGATGAAGATAGTCCAAGATTTCTATTTCTGAATCACATCTATATGTGCTGTAAATTATATTTCCAAATTTGTTATAGTAACTATCATTATGCACTGAAATAGGGATACCATAATCCATTAGTTATGTATGTAAAAAACTGAAAATGCAAGCGTAAACTAATAACCCCGTTTCATAAGGGTTATTTGGCTGAACTACGCAGAAGTAGGAACGTTTAGTAACATCCATTATAATCAGATAAGTTTGTCAAATGCTACTTGTTTTTATTATTCTGCTGAAAAGCATAATTAGCCGATCAATGCTACCAAATGAGGCCAGTTCAGCAGTTTATAAATATTTGTCTAGGACTATTTGTGGACCATTTTTATTTGATATCCTAAACGTTTATAAAACCAACTTTAATTTTGAAGCTGTAAAAGCCGTGGAGAAATAGGTAGTATTTTCTTTTCTTGATTCTTAAAGGGGCTTACACCAAATATTGTTTCTCTTTACAGAATGGATAGCCTGGTGACTGATGAAGCAATTCGACATGGTTTGCAGATAAATGAAGTATGTGGGACACAATCTGTGGTAAAAGATCTTCAAGGACTCATATATGAGATAAAGATTAGGGAGTCTAATTAGACTTCCGGCCTCAAGATTTTATGATCACAACATTCAAGCAAAACTGAAGTAGGCAAATGCTTTCTTCTCCTTGACAAAGTTGTTAGGGTTGGATCATTGATCATCATCAAACTTGGTGTTGAAATGTTTTGAAATGTATTACAAGTTTGTATTATGTATTTGAGAAAAATAGCTATTATAAGTGAATGTATGGTAATATGGCTTTTCGGATTATCAATCTTATGATTCTTATCGGTAAGACTTTTTTGCCGAACACTAATTTTTTCACATCACATGTTGACTTGGCAAATAATAGAAAAAGGTTCCAAGTATCTTCGATTTTAGCTTCTTAGATTTTCATATAAAATTTTCTTTACCTTTTTAGTAATGTATGTATTTTATTTTTTTCCATTATTCGACATACTCAGCCAATTTTAGCAGATTAACACATTCATCCAATTTCAATGGTACCAAACCAGCTCTAAATTGCCCTGTTTATATCCCTTTCTTTTGGCGGTAAGTTGGATCATTGTGCCCAATAGTGGATTGGCCGGTTAATGAACCAGGTGCGTTCTATAGTGGTCCGTTCATCCGTTGCAGGACAGTGTATACACCTAATTGCACCATGGCACCACAGTCCTCGAAGATGGGCTGAAAGTCTGAAACTGCGGTTTGGCTTGGCCGAAGAAATTGGGCCTCCCCGGACATTGTTGGCTTAAAAAGGGGCATCAGGGAAGTTCTACTCTATGAGATTATGACTGTTATTCCCCTCTACAGGCTACAGCACAATATAGGAGTGTTTGCATCAAGACTAGAAGCAATCAAGCAAATGCAATTGCTATGTTTGGAGGAGTACCCTACATCCTTGAGAACAAAAAGGGCCGGTTTATTTATTCAGCAGTTCACATGAGCTCTTATTGTTTCTTTTATTTGGTTCTATGTTTTCTGTTTTTGTTTTTGTTTTTGTTTTTGTGAGAGATGGCCAACACTTGAAGTCGTGTCATATCAGATTTGGACGAGGTCATTGAGGTCTGATACAGTTGAGATCAAACTACTCTTGCTTTGACATGCCGTGTAATCTTGATTTTGTTTTATGATTAATATTGAATTGATAAATTAATACTCGTACTACATAATAAAATATGAATGATAACCATTCAAACATTAACGTTTTGGGTGTGAATTTTATTAAAGTACATGAATTACTTTTTAATAGCAAGCATGAGTGAAATGAGAACAAAGTAACTTATTTTCTTTAATATTTTTATTAAAAAGTATTTTTAAATAGTTCACTAACTCAATCATTTTATCAAATATAACCCAATTCATTTATTTCACCCAAATTTATTTGTGCACCAAAGTACCAAACGTGTTAAAAGTTATCCATTCAACAACCCAACGAGAAAAAGACACCACAGCCATTATTATAATCAATTAATAGCTTTTGAGTTCGACAAAGATCAGTTGAATCACACCAATTATATACTCCATCATCACTTTCCATCATTCTGGACAGGATGCGGTTACTATCTATGAAGTGAAGAATTACAAGGTAACCTCGCTCCAAGATTAGAACCATGATTAGAGAGAACGGGTGACAGTGACTTTACAAAGTGCCCTTTCTAGTGTGATGTTCATCTACCAAATCTGATCTATTCCAGGTCTTCAACTGGCCAGAGCCGTTTCCAAGCTGAAATCTCTTCTTTGCTGTGAACTTTCTTGATTCCTCCGTAGAACCCGTCCGCCTCGTTTCCTTCCTCGCGGTGCTCTTTTCTGCTAACGATCGTTCTTCTCCACCGCGATCCAGCAGCGTATTGATTGAACTCGAGGGATACACTGTCTGCATACATAGCACAATGTGAATGAGCACCAATAGAACTATAGAATATATGAGTGGTTAAAGTGATCTATGGAGGGTGTCAGTGACACTGGTGGGCTTGTCACTATAACATTGAAAATGAAATATTTTTTTAAGAAATAATTACATAAATATGATCAAAATAAAGATGATTTACAAAAATATGACTAGTGATTAGAGTAGTAATGAAATCATAGTAATTCATGTTCAAGTTTTGAGCTTAAGTTACCACAACACCACAATGTAGTAATGAATAGTCATATTTATGTAAATATGTTTTATTTTAGTAATATTCTTGTAAAAAACCCAATATTTAAACTATTTAGTCATTGTTTTGAAATGTTTAAAGGAGTTTTCCTAAATGGAGTAAAATAAAACGTCTTCCCTAAATAAAAGTACCAAGTTTTCTCCCAATTCCTCTAAATAGGAGTTAAGTATTGTTATCCTAAAATAATGGTGCGGTATATACCTAATGTGGTACTCCGTATATCTTACTTCTACTTAGGGTAATCTCTTAGCATTAGAATTGTTTAGTGACTTTTGTCACTTTTGCAATATCCCTTACCATGTTTGTCGTTGCATACTTCATATGGTGTTTGGAATATTTCTTAAATTGTTTCTGCTTTTTCACAGAGCAGAAACAGATATTGAAGTGTTTGAGTGAAATTACAGAAGTAGTTTCAAATGCTACAAATTGATTGTAGAAATAGTTTTTTAAAAGCTGATGGAGACCTACTTCTAAAAATCCGATTCTAATTCTATTTCTGCTTTAAAAAACAGAATAAATCATTCCCATCACACCCATATATCCTTTTTTCTACATTGTATTGTGCACCAAAGACAGCATTAACGTAATATCAAAAGTGGCAAATCCACAGTAGGTCGAAGGCTAGAAAGAGTGGTATTATTACTACTCCTTTTCATTTTTGCAACACCCCACTTACACATACGCCTCTACCTCATAATGACACGCAGGGTGACGTTTAATCCTCCCTATGTGGTAACTTTCCTAGCTAATACTCCGTTAAATAAATAGCTAAAGAACGAACAGTCCATAATGGAAACAGAATCAATGCCTACTCCATAGCCAAACAGATGAAATTAAAAGTTTGATGGTCCTAAAATGATCCATTGAGATAGTGTGAGACAGCACTCATTAGGATGTTTGAAAAAAATAGGACAAGGCCGCTGGAAAGTTTTGTTTCGAGGCCAAATGCTAAATGGCTCCAGAAAAAGGACCATGCTCGCTCACAATAATGGGACTCAAAGGGGGCCTACCCAAACAAAGGTCAAATCAGACTCAAGGCTCAGTTTGGTATAATTGTTGGAAAAAGTCAGCAATCCCTTTTCCTCCAAAAAAAACCTCACAAGTCTACAAAATAAATGGAACTTTAGAAAGATTTATCACAAACATGACCAGATGCAGAAATAGAAGTAATTGATCAGTGATAACGTAAGAACAAAAAATTACTTTAACTTTTTCTTTGGAAGGTGAATGTATTTTTTTTTTTTTTTTGACAAAAACAGTGAGGGTCCAATTTGAATTCTGATTATGGATTTTTCTCTTATTGTTATGTAGGGTTTAATACGGAGTAATAAATACTACCTCCGTCCCATTTTAGTTAGTCATTTTTGACTTTTCTAGTCAAAGATAGTAAAGTTTGATCAATTATTTTAACTAATATATTAATGCAAAATTTAATAACTTTATACTTTTATGATACTATCGTAAACCCATATTTTCAGCTTATCGGTCTAATGGTCTATGGTTTGGTAATCCATATTTTTAACTTATTACTCTTATCGATGAACTTTCTTTATTTAACGCACTAATTAAATTGTGTAATAAGGAATAATCAAATAAGAAAGATTGAAATATTTTCTGAATTGACTGAAATTTATATAGAGAATCGTTTTAACTATTCTTTCATAATTACCAAAATGCTGTAGCTTAAAAGTCAGAGTATACCTAACAAAGTTTTTGATTGTTTTCGAGCGTTCTGACTCAACCTGATTACTAAACACCTAGATTCATATAACTTGACCTTACTTTATACTCATCATAAATTATTAATCCAACTTTTTTGAATCTAATTTCAAACACTTTATAAGAACAATACAAAACAACCCTCAACATTCAAGCTTGGAATGTAGTGGACCCAAGAAAATTGCAACTAAAGTGTGTTTCATGGAAATTTCATATAGGGTGAAAGGCAATGGCACAGGTTTTACGGTGCCGCCGCCGACTGCACATTGCTATATGCACTCGAATGTTTTTATTATTATTATGATGAAACACTAGGGCTCCATAATAATAAGACCCCTTCATCATAAGTCTCTGTTTGGTTAAGGGGAAATATATGTAAAATATGGAGTACATAGAAGCAAAGAGAAACGGAGATAAACGGCTAGCAAAAAAATGGGTCCCATCTCCATATCCTTTTCATGGAATGTTCTTTTTCACATGGAGAAAAAGTCAATTACCTCTGATGGAATATTCCATAATATGCACATGTAGTAGATTCTTTATTAACAATTTACTAGACCATCATTAAATGCGGAAGTAACAAAAAATCTATTTAATCCTACTCAAAGCAAAGAACTATTATGCAAAATAAAGTACACACTATACTTTATTCAAGTGCAACAAAGAATGAACAGTCACTCCAGAAATGAATGAAAGTTCTCTTGGGTATTTAAAGGAAATAGTAGATCACTATTAGTGAAATAAAGAGATGAAAATGTTTATGAGGCATTTTAAAGGAAAATGGTAGATCACTATTAGTGAAATAAAGAGATGAAGATGTTTCAAATAAATTATCATTTTCCTTAATGTTTTCAAAATTCAGAAGAGTCAATTTGAGGAAGAAATTGATAATTATTGATAAAAAGGGGAAAAACTGAAAGTAACAATTGCAGACTCTGCACGAGTACTTGTTGGGAGAGAAGGCAATTAAGCAGGGAGTTAGTGAATCTATAACAAAAAGACTTAAACTTGGAAGGAATTACAATTTTAGTGAATCTATAACAAATGGTACAACCACGTGTACCATATAATTTGCCCATTTTTTATCAACTACTATTTGCAGACCAATAATACTCCGTAACACATACTTAAAAATCACTTTAAGCAATACTAACTACTCCGTATTTGAATACGGAGTATATATTACCAAAATGATACGGAGCCACTTTTCCACTACAAATATACATTTAATCCATTAAAAACATATATCAAACCATCAAATAGGTGTTTATGTTTTATTAAATGGCTCGATATAAGTTTCATAATATTCGAGTAGTTGGTATTGAATAAAATCATTTCTAAAACATGCACTATTATTAGTTTATGGGTGATAGTATTATTTAATGATATTTTATTATTTTAAATAATAAAAATATTTAATATGCAATATTTGCACAAATGCATATAAAAAGGAACTAGAAATACTTAATTACTTTAAATAGGAAAACATGTGATGCAATGCATATATCCAAAGATATGGGGCAGGGAGAGGGGTGCAACTCACCACTTTCATTACAACGACAGTAGCTGTGAATCCCATCACATGTTTCCAAGTGGCCAACAATGCCATACCACCACCCTGCATTGATTCCCCCCACAAATATTAGAAAATCCATCAATTATTTGCAAAAATCCATGGGGATAGATTTGATCATATCTCCAAAGAATAAAAACCCAATCATCTCCTATTTTGTTCAAGATACTAATGGTTGATCCACAACCCACATCATCAGACTACTGATCAATATTAATAAAGTGCCACCCACACAATTCTTATAAAAGATGCTGATGAAGCTGTCTACCTACCCAATAAAGAGTTGCCACACATCATCATTACATACTTCTAAATTAGGATTATTAGATGTTTGCCCATATTAAGCATTTTGTTGACTTTATTGTTAACAGCAAGAAAATATGGTAATAACCTCCCGAATAGCAATCAATTAAAGCCAGCTCAAATTTTGAACAAGTTTTCTATGTAAAGTTATATGCTGACTCCACCAGTCCTATCCACACCTGCCCAAAATCTGGTTGAGCTTTCAAGTCAAACTTGGAGCCCGTTTGATCGGATGAATCTTGTTCAAATGATTGAATAAACCGGTTTTGCTGATATGTGTTTAAGATATCTAAAAGGGTTGAATTATCTTAAATATAAATAAGATTTGCTCTTTAATAAATTAGGTATGTCTAAGATAAGGGTCAATGTGTCACATTTGCCTTTATTTGAGCCGTTCCCATTTATTGAAACGTCTATACTACTTTTCTATTAGAGAAGAATAATTTAAATTCCCTGTTTTGGATAGGTCTGAGCTAAATACCCAAATTTACATGTGAAAAATAAATATCATGAACTTACATTATAGGTGATGCTATCCATCCATCAGCAAAATGAACTCAAAATTATATACGAAGTGTTTCACACATTGGAAGCTTAAGAATTAAGATGCTAAGCCCACACTCCTAAATGTTCAGAGTAAAACTTGTGCCTTTAACATCATAAATTTACTTTTGTGAAAGAAAAAACTTAGTAAGTCTTAGAAATATTCTTAAATCAAACAAAATAAAAAGGTTATCAGACGGGACCCAGGCGTTAGTCTTTTTGGTTAGGGGGTTACTTCATCCACAGTAAAGAATCTTAAGAAGACTTACTACCAACCCATAAAATAGGAAAAGATAAAAGAAAAGAAAGCATGAATTTAAATATTAACAGTAATAATAACCCTCCTGCAATCAGCATAATGGTGGCAAAAATTACCGAAAATCAGAATGCTTTTGAATGGAATATAATTTTCTTCACAAAAAATAAGAAAAACTAAAGGTTTGGCCCTTTGGGGTTAGTGGGGTGAGGGGTATCAAGGACAAACCATATGGGAATTTCTTGTTTCTTCTCCATTGGATTTCAATGTGATCCCCAGGGCTCAAATCATTCAAGCAATCAGAGATGTGAAGATCATGTGGAGAGGTATCAACAGGAGGAGCTCTTAGTCTATCCCATGTCACACCAGTCTCTATTGCAACTGCCATCTTGCCATGAGGTGGATACCTGTCAATGAAAAAACAAAGCTAACTTCAATAACACAATACTAAAAACGTGTTGTAGGACACCAATATTTTTGTCCACCACATTATTATTCCATTTCATAGAGCAGTACTTCTCCCTTGCCTAAACATTAAAGTTTCCTGCCAATGCTTTCAAGACTACAACCAGACACTGTGACAATTATGTCGTTTAATTTACTAAAAACTCTTTAAGACAGCCTTTTTTCGAATAGAAGATGCATGATTGAAGATAAAAAATTACTAACTAGGAACAGCGAGAGGGAAAAGAAAGTTTCACAATTACCTAGCCTGGAAAGTGTCAGTCTTGGAGTCATAGCTAAGTTCAGCATCATAGCAAGATAACATAAACCCAACGTGACCATTCTGCAGCAACAGGCAGAACACCACATATAATCAAATTCAATGACAATCATAAAAACCATCAATAAACCAATCTTGAGGTGAATGATACCTCACGGTTGTATACTTGAGCAGGGAACCAAAACTTCCCAGATTCAAGAGCAAGAAACCAGAACATTTTAGAATCAACAGGTGGCAAATAACTTCTCTTGTCACCACCTTCCGAAGGGCCAAGAGTTGCAGAAAGAGGCCAAAACCTAGTGAGATAACTTATTAGAAAGCCTTTCTTCTTGCATTGGTGAAAAAAACTGGAATCCTTTCTGGAAGCGATATGGGACTGCCATTCCCTGTAGGCAGAAGGGCCAATGATCTTTCCCCATTTTTGCTTTAAGTGCCTTTCCCATAGATGATCACTTATGCATCTCTCCCTCAGGGAGCTACAAACACTGGCCAGCTCACATAGTCCCTGTGGAGGGAGCTTTTCCAGAATGCATTCTAACACCAGGTCAGGCAAATCTAAGACTGACATCTCACATATATTCTCAACATGATCTGCCTCGGAGGAGACAGCAGGTTTGCTCCTGGGTAGTGGCATTCTTGGAGGAATCAAACCAACAAGAGAGAAATCTTTCCAGAAACAGAAGGACAACAATCTAAAGTCGGCAGCCCATAGAGGTACTGTCTTGAAAGATAAAGACTTGTAGAAAATGGTGATGAAGGTGAAGGATGTGATCAAGAAGAGAATCATTTTAAAAGTTAGACCACCCACCGTGGAAGAACAACCAATGGCAAAGTTTTAAGCAGGTACACTATTGGATTTGTATATTACGGAGTAGTATATATTGAGGATAGAAGTGGTAGATAATATGCCAACAGACACCTAAAAAAATAAGTCAAAATACTCCAGCTTCCGTACAATCAATGGGTTCCCCGAACCAACTAAAGAAGAAGAAAAGTTGACCAAGACTCAAGTTATATCAACATGGAAGAGTGGACAGTTTTTATAGAAGAATACAACAGCAACACATGAATGTGAAGGAGAAAAGTTCAGCAACGTAGCTCTTTTTACCCACTCAACCGGAACCCCAAAAGTCGGAAAAAGCTCAAAGATGACTCCATGTGCAAAAGACCCACTCCACTTTATCCCAATATCATAGGAAAGAAACAAAAAACGCACCGAGGCCTAGTAGGCAAATGATGGGAATTGAGTTTTTCCAGCTAAGAGTGGGTAACATAGCCAACCAGTAGGAATCTCTCTTGAGCATTTTATCATACAAGTGTACAGCAAAAGTATGGAATAAAAAATGGGCAGAAGACAGGATCTCTTTGCGGGATGGGGGTGGGGGCTACAGCCTACAGGCGACTGCGACGGGTGAAGTTGAGCTGTTGACCGTCTGAAGGGTGGGGTTGCGTGGGGTGGTGGGTGACCCTCTGGGGTCCTCTTCCTCCTCCACCCACACAAACCAATCCCATTGCCTCTCCGGGAGTGAGAGTGGCAGCCCAAATCAGTGGAAGCCTGCGAGGGTAGATCCAGGTAGGGTATGGGAATGGGGCTGTTTTTCCTCACTCGTTCCTTTTCACATTCTTGAATCTGACGTCAATGGCATATGTATGGGCGGTCTGCGGCGAAGAAAAGATCACAATTTGCTCTGCATTTTCTTAATCCTTCTGTGAATTTCGATCCCCGAAGCAAAGGTTCGGCCTTTTCTGTATTCACATTGGGAGAAAAGTACCCACTTGCCCCATAATTGTGGGCTACCAAGTTGTGAGTTTTGACCAGTGGCATTCGATGGGGATGGGAGGCAATAACTGCTGTACCAGCGTTCCCGGAAGTACACAACCCTCTCCGAGCCCACCTCATTTGAGAAGGCCGTTAGTTAACGAGCTATAAAACGTCACCGAATGACAACCAGGGAGACATGATCTTGTCAGCGGGATTTGATTTCATGTCACGAGGAAAGACGAAAAGAGAAGGAAAGTCACCCCAATTGAAGTTGGCTGGTTTCTCGTGGACTGGTGGGTTACCGCGAGGGACATCGATGCAATTGTTTTGGGTGTGTTAAAACACTTCTAATGTGGTTTAAGAAAGGTGGTTGGATACTTGGATCTACTTTTTGGAGGGTTGAAGTAAATATTAAAATGTTTGGATGAAATTGTAACCGGACTACAACTGGGCCACCCGACCCGAGAACCGGCCCGGTACTGTATTGACCCGGCCCGGTGGCCGGGCCCGGGTGGACCGCACCACCTCTAAAACCAAGCGGGTGCGGACAACTATTCCTGCTTAGTCATCACTACACGGGAAAACAGAGAGAAGTGTGGCAACATGAACTGCAAAACAACAATTGATCCAGTATGGAGTATACTTAACGTATCTGAAGTGAATCTTCAAGACATTCTACTCTCTTTTTACCGCCTGCAGCGCTCTGACGGGACGTAATTCATTTGCAAAGAAAATGATCTGTATATGCTGAAGATGGATGACATCTATCAGATGTACCTAGCATTCCAAGAACTTCCCGGCATTTGTGACAAAACTACTCAAGACAGCTTTGATGCACTCAAGCGCTTTATGATTAAACAAATCAAATTTGTTGCCTCTCATGATCTTCAGATGGCTCTTGAAACAAATCTGCCAAAAACAAACCTCTCAAGACCAAAGCTGTACAGACCAGAACTTGAAAATTTTCCTGCATACTACATCTTCGACACCTGGTTACTCTCATCTACCTAAACCACAATGGTGAGAAGCGTATGATGTTCATTGACGAGCTGAACAAGTACTGTGATGGGACACTGAAGATTGTGAAGGAGAAGCTGCAACCAATCAGAAAGGAATTTGAAGAGAGACAATAGAAGTATGCAAATGCATCAGATGCTGAAATCCTAGAGTCAAATCGAATAGAGAAAGTTCTAAGAGCAATCGAGAAGCAACTTGACAAAAGAAAGTCTCTCAGGAACTACGAGCAAGCACTGAACCTTCGCAAACACTATTACAGAGCTAAGAACTGAAGACACCCAGCAAGATAACACTTGATCACAAATGGGGAGATTGTTAGAACTATTTTATTGTGAATAAAGTTTGTCGATAATGTCTTGTTTAATAAATTAGAATAGATGTACCATGTATGGTATTAGTATTATTATGTAATAATTGGTAGTGAGGGAATAAGGCCCAAAAAGGCTTAGACCCAAACTCTCATGTATACCTAATTCAGTAACCTGTACATCGCCTATAAATATGCACGTCCTGTACAGGTACCAGAGTCGATTATTCTATTCTCTAGCCTTACGCTGTTAAAATAGTTCTTGATATAATAGAAGAAGAATTTTTCTGTTCTCAATATTGCTTTATCATTATCAGATCTTCTTTCTCTCTGTTTATCGATGAATATCATCTAGCTGTGTGTTAGTCTACATAAATTTAGGACCAAGAGTTTGGTAATTTAACTGTTTGGCCATGACAAATATTTTCAAAACATTAACCCAAAACCCTCTTATTTGCAGCGTTTCCATTTCAACGGTTCTATCCAAAAACGTTAGGGCCGAATAGCTATATACCAAAAATCATTTTCACTTACTGAAAATGTTAAAAGGGGGTCGAACCATCATTTTTTATTGTAACACCATTTTTCAAACACCCTCAAAATATACAAATATTGAAGTCAATAGATTTCTACAAATAAATAAAATCCATTAAGAGAGTGCACTATATAAGAACAGAAAATGGTCAAATAAGGTCTTTTACTATTTCCGAAACATCACTTAAGTCCGTGTATTTAAATGGTATCATACAAGTACACTCATTTCAAAATTTGATCAATTTGACCATTGGTTTAGTTTTTGACCTGTAATAGCATGTTTTTTATATATAAAAAACTTTAAAAACTGTTAAAAATTGAAGAAACATAGATAAAAAAGTGAAAATTTGCAGGATGTCAAAGTCAATATTTTTAAAATTTTGAAATTATTTGCTTATTCTACATCTATTGAAAAGGTTTTTACATTTAATATTTTACAGTTTTGTGATTTTTCATTTTTTATTATAATGTTTTTAAATTGGTTATGCTTTTTTACATTTATGCTACTTTTTGTATCATCATCATCATCATCATCGTCGTCGTCGTCGTCGTCGTCATCATCATCATCCTCATCATCGTCATTATCATCGTCATCATCATCATCATCATTATTGTTATTATTATTATTATTATTGTTGTTGTTGTTGTTATTATTATTATTTTATTTTCAAATTGGTATGAATTTTTATAAGATTCATCATTATGATGATGATGATGATGATTGTATTTAAGAAGTAAACGTACTTATATGATGTTTTTTAGTAGAAGGACTTAAGTGATTGATTGTTAATAGTGGAAGGATCTATTTGATCCTTTTTGAGTACTCTCATTATTGGGTTATCAAGAAGAGTCTGTATTTTTTTCCATTTATTTTCATAAGTAACCATGTATCAAATTTTGTAATTTTTAACCTGGCAATCCCCAAATCTCCGTTTATGGCTTTCCGGATGTAGATACTACAAAGAGATTCACAGTCGCAGGAATTGCGACCGTCTTCTGCCCGTGATTCTTCTGGCTTTGGGTACTTTTCAATATTAAAAAGCGGTCATTGTCCCTCTAGTTAGGGTTTTAGTTCTTCCGACGACGAGTTTTTTTTTTGTGCGAACAAGAAACAGAGACAACAATAGTGAAATGATGACATCATCAAGTAAAGGTCATGGGCGAAGCTTGGGGTTAAAAGCGGGAACATATCTGGATTCAAGGTCATCTGTGATTGGTGGTGAAAGTGGAGGCTTGACAGAGAACGCGATGAATAAGAGGCAGAGTGAGGAAGAAGGTACGGTACAGCCGGCTCGTCCTCCTCCTGAACCGCCACCGTTGTATCAGAAACAGATAACTAGATAAGAGATTCTGGAAAGTGGTGGAAGTGGTGCTCTGGAAGAAGGAGAAAGAGTTTTATTTTATTGTCTTTTAGGTTTTTAATTTCTTTAATCATACTGTTTGCTTTTTCTTTTGGTATGTTTTTTGTTGTAATACTGTGAATTTGGATGTGGGTGATGGAAGGATTGCGGTAACCGTCTTTGGCTCAGTTGCGCCCATTAATAGATCAACGAGTTATATTGCTTCTGTCGAGGTGATAAACCCTGAGTTTGGTTCGAGGGTTGGCGGTTGTCAGGAATCTTTTTGTCGGTTTACCTACTATCTGAATGATGTATTATCAATTTAAGCCCATTTCTTTAAAAAAAACTGGCAATCCCAGTCTGGTTGGCAAAACATATAACTAGTGTGAATAAGTTCACGAGCCATAAACAAATTTGAGAAAAATTAAAATATAATAGTGTGGACAAGAATTTTTAAAATCAAATTCGGTTATAATAAAAATATTTTCATCTCTTTTGAATGTTGTTGTTTGTAAGTAGTAATTAACCCTTTTATGCTTTGAACGATGAAATAAGAAGTGGGTGGAAACGTAGAATAGCTACATGTTGAGTGAAGATAGATATTGAAGAATCCCACACCTAAAGAAGAGAGAAGACAGGCTTATAAAAATCAAGCGATTGCAACCCAGCTACATACTTGCCTGGACGAGGTCAATGGGCGATCAAGAAGACCCATGACTTAGGTTGGTGACTTCCATTGCACTTTGGAAGGGTGCCGTCCTAAAGTCTAACCAAGTGGTGGAACCTACATCGTAATTTCTGTTAGTGGGGTCTGCGTTCACGCGGCCCGTCCAAATCTCAATCAAAGTTCTGATATAATATTCATGCACTCTTTAAATATAGTTATATTTTAGTTACAACATTTATGCTGGTCTTTTAAATTTTACCAAATGTTTATATCCTACATGGAAAGAACATCAAAGCAGGGAGTTGATCTTTTAAATTTCACAAAATGTTTATATCCCACAACCAGGGGCGGAGCTAGGGGTGGGCCAACCTAGGCCATGGCCCACCCCAAATTTTAAAAATAGCTTAATTTTTAAAGTAAAAAATTTTGTGTAGATTTTTTTCTAAAAATATTTTTTGTACCGACTCAGTCCGGCCCAGTGCTCTGGCTCAACCCCTGCCCACAACGAGAGAACATCGAAGCATGGAATTGAGCAAAGAGGCTCATAAAAACCAAACGATTGCTTCCATTGCACTTTCGATGTATTCCCGAACTCCCTTTGTTTCTATATAAAGACTATGACATTCTTAAGCACTATTTAACACTGTTTTATTGCCGTTTTATATTTAAGAAAGAATGGAGTATTAAAATTTTAGTTTAATAGAAATTTGGGATGAAAGAACGTAAAAAATCAGGGTCATTGGTTTCTGTTTTGATCGCGGGAGCTGATCTAGTTTTTAAACTTACCAATTTTAGTTTCATTAGAGCAACTCCAATCAATCACGTTTCGTGTACATAGCAAGTTGTACATAACATTTTACACTTCGGTCAAATTGTTTATGCACACACAATTTGATCATCGTTTTGTGAAGAGAATCGTTTTTTCGCATTCAAAACAAAAATGTCTGCGTCACAACCATTTTGATCGCCATTAAAATACTGTGTACAAACAACATTTTCGATCTCCAACAATTGAATATCTAGTCTATTACAAACACTTACATGTGGGACCCATTTTTTATCTCACAATTTTTATTTCCAATAAGACCTACATATCTTCATATTCATTTTCATTTTTATATCACTTTTAACTCACTCTTAGTCCACGAATCCCATGTAAAGTTCATGTGTGAACATTGTCTACACTTACTTTTATCTCTCTTTTTTTCATTTTCCCGCATACATCACTTTCTCTATATTCACTTTCTATGCTACATAGGATGAAATACACTCCATTACACACATAACTTCTCACTACGCTACACACTCAATTACTCATAATTACGATATGATAGGACGAATTATATAATTGGTGACTTCCATTGCTCTTGAAATAGTGCCTTTTTATGTCATAATTAGGGGTTATGGGGGCATGCATTTTCGTGGCCTTCACCATACTTATAGTTTAATATATAAGGTATAAATATTCAATGGAGATGAAAGTATAATGAGCAAGTTAGGATTCCAGCTTAGCTTAATATGCAGAAAAAACAGGTGCACTAATTGATCGCTGTCTTGATTGATGCGCGAGGATAGCAACTTAGTGTTACATTAAGTTAGGAGTTTGTTAAGTTGGGAGTTTGTTAAGTTGGGAGTTTGTAAGTAATATTATGTCAAAGCTTTGAAACACACATCCATGACAGTGATTGGAGGCTTGGAGCCATGATTATGGTTCTTCACAATCTAAAAATGTGGAATCCCTAACCCCAAACATCTCACCCTCCCACAATGAACAAGGTAGTTTAGGGCGTGTACACAAGAAACTACCACATTGAATGAAATCTCATACACTGTCAAATTGTTTGTGCACACACAATTTGATCGGCGTTTTGTGAAGAGAAACGTTTTTAGCATTCAAAACAAAAATGTCTGCGTCACATAAAATTTAACCGCCATATAAAATGCCAGGTACAAACAACATTTTCGATCTCTGGTTGGATATTTAGTCTTCTTGAAAACACTTACATGTGGGCCTCTTTTTTTATCTCATTTTTTATTTCCAATGAGACCTACATATCTTCATATTCATTTTCATTTTTATATCACTTTTAACTCCCTCTAACTCCTCAAATCCCATGTTAAGTTCATGTGTGAATATTGTCTACACTTACTTCTATCTTTTTCTTTTTCATTTTTCCGCATCCATCACTTTCTCTATATTAAATTCAAATAATTATTCAATCTCTATTTCTTTTCTATGCTACATAGGATGGAATACACTCCATTAAACTATCACGTTGAAGATGCTCTAATTTTTGTGATTATTTAAAAGTTTTAATTTTTGTGATTATTTAAAAGTTCTAATTTAGAGTTCATGCATTTTAATCTATAAAAATGTGCAAGTATATTACATAATAAATACACACATAATTACAAATATATACGATATGACAGTATATATGTGAAATAATGGGAAATGATACTCCAATAAGAGTCCTGACAGATATATTTATTATAGAAGAGTTGCCAAAATACAAAGTATTCCTAAATAGATATTAGATGGATTGCTAGATACTACCTTCGTCCCTTTTTATTTAGCCAACTTTGACTTTTCAAGTCAAAGGTAATAAATTTTGATCCAATATTTTAACTAATATATTTATGTGAAACTTATTAAATTTATACTTTTATGATAATATTTTTAACAAAGAACATTTTCATATAATTTTCATATACTCAATAAAACAGTGTTTGGCTAAATATAAAGGGACGGAGGGAGTATACATTAGGCAGATTCCTAAATATATTAGGCTACTAAACTCCCTCAAACTGTGCGGGAGATACAATGCACAGTTGTCTTTTTAAAAAATGAAATTTCAAACTAGAAAAACTCTTAGTAAATATATCCGCCAACGGAAGATTAGGAGACACATATTTGACAATAAGATCTACATGAGCAAGTAGATTGTTTCTAGAGCTTCCAATAAACCAGATAACCAAGAAATACAACAAATCCTGACGTAGATCTACAGTCGGATGTCCGATATATGTCGGAGTAGGTCTCCAATATTGTCCATAATTAGGAGACCTCTGAAGATACCTTGAGCAAGAGGAGCGAATGAAGCGAGTAGATATATTTATAACAGGGGCAGACATATTAACAAACTAATGGGGGCACATGCCCCCAATGAAATCCCATTTTTTGAAGTAAATATATGCATATATAGTTAATAGAATAGGTAGTGCCCCCAATCTAAATAATTGATGCCCCCATTAATTTGTCATCTCCTTAGTTCATTCTGTTTTTTTAAATTAGCTACTACGTATTTGATACCGAGTACTTTTGTGCTTTGTTAATTGGAGTGTTAAAAGCTATTTTATATTTTGCTAATTTTGTTGATTTGTTCTTCTATTGTATTTTTATATGTAATTTCTTTTTAGAGAACGAATCATTTAATTAACTTAAAGTAAGTTTAAGAAGGTTGTTCACCGTATTATGTACGTATTTTAAAGGAGTATAGTTTTTTATTTTATATATTTGGACAGGTTTAGTCAATGATATTAAGGTATTATAAAAGAAATAAGAAATTCAAGTGACAATGTATCAAATATTTCTCCCTTTAGTGTGTAAAGAAATTGATTTGAATAACCTCCCTCACAATCCCACACAGAGGAATTTTTTTCAGAATATCATCCTTATAAAAAGGATGAAATAAAAAGAAAATACTTAATTACTTAGAGGATCCTGCCAACCTTGAGGTCATGATTTTGTTAAGAAAACTTCTGGCTGAAAATTATGATCATATTTCCTTCATTATTAAATAAGTGCAACGTGTTGAATTTTACATTATTTAGATGATCTACTTTGACTATATTTTATTTAATAATGTATTACTCAATTATTATTTCAAAAAATATTGTTAAACTTGTCTCGTGGTAAATATTCAAAATGTTTTTTTTTTTAATTTTTTACTAATGGAGAATTGAATATACTAATGGTCAAAGACGTCCATCGGCACACGTGAGAAGTGGATTGTTGCACTTTTTTAAAAACATAGGTAGTATCATTTAGTGTATCAGTTACTGTAATTGTCATTAATTTAGCGGTCAATTTTTTATGCTTGACTAACAAAATTGTGATGGTTCATTTACAAAAAAATGCCTCAGAGAGGACTAGAGGAGTTGCAATTAAATATACTATATAATATTCTTAATTTTGCTAATATTGAAATATTTCATCTTTGATGTTAATTTATACTTTGAAATAATTATTCAAAAAACTCATTTGTTCTTAGTAGGTGCCCCCAATAGTTTAATTTTCTGGATCCGCCCCTGATTTATAATAACCTAGAGCTCTGATACCATGTGAAATAATGGGAAAAGATATTTCAATAAGAGTTCTGACAGTTATATTTATAATAGAAGATCGAGTTGTCAAAATACAAAGTATTCCTAAATAGATACTACGTATTAAGCAAATTGCTAAATATATATTGGACCGATTCCTAAATATATTAGGCTATTATATAGTTGGTGACTTCCATTGCTCTTGAAATAGTGCTTCTTCATGTAATAATTAGGGGTTATGGGGGCATGCGTTTTCGTGGCCTTTACCATACTTATTTAATACTCCGTATATATTAAGGTACTAGCTTGGCACGCGCGTTGCGCGACGAACGATGCCCAATGATGGTAAAAATAAACGAGAAAGTTGCCCAATGATGTGTTAGTTACAATTCGGGCTTAGCAGTCACTTAGAGCCCGTTTGGTAGCACCAAAATCGGCTGTTTTGGCTGATTCTGCTGAAATTTATGATATTCTGGTTGGAGTGGCTGTTTTGGCTGATTCTGCTGATTTAAGAAAAAAATATTTTAAAAATATATTTTATTAATAAATTAAAGAAAAAATTATATGTAAAAATAGCTAAAATGGTCCTCTACAGTAACTTCAGCCAATACAGCCAGAAAAGTAACTCCAACCTTACTTTTTCGGCTTATTACACAATTCAGCGCGCGAAAGTAAAAATTACGTGTTTGGTGAAAAAACTGGCTGATAAGCCTGATAAGCCGAAAACAGAGTTCTCCAAACGGGCTCTTAAGTTGTTATTCCTATAAGATCAAGTTAATAGATGAGGATATAATAGGTATTAGAGTATAAAAACTAAAAAGGGTGAGTTGGGGCAAATAATGAGCCAATACTAACCGGCAAGTGAAAACCATAATGTGTTGTTTATGTAATGAGTTGAGAAATAATAGGTATTACAGTATTAGAGTTTAAAACAACCAAATTCAACTTATAGAATTGTGATTTTTTACCTTAAGAGCCAATACTCTAACACCGAAGCTTTAACCCTTCAAGACCTTACCACGTACCAATTTTTATCCAAAAACAGATAAAAACTAACAGCATATGTGAAAGCACCAAGTAAATTTTAATATTTTAGCATTAACTTGGATAAATAAGGCTTAGGTAATAACCAAAATAATTGAGAAAAAAGAGTTTAACCATGTACATTACAAACATTGACGGGACAAAACAACAATGGCATGGGTAGCTTAAGGGTATCATTTAGTTGTAGACATACCTCATACAACGTCTTGTCCAGAAGCAATGAAGTCAAAAGAGAGAAGGTTGTCCCGGTCTCGAATGGTCTGAAAGCTGATGCCAGAAGCCCAAAACCTTTGAATACCTAAAGCAGTAAATGAGTGAAGTAATGAAGGCTTAAAGCCGCTCCCGTCCTAGGCCTGCAACAATATTTTATATAGCTCATTCGAATACCTCAGACTTCCTCTGGATAATACCTTCGGTATTGAACCATTTTATATAAATGAATAGAAAAACGATCTTTTAAATAAACAAATATGTGGACTAAATCAAAATAAACCGAGCATATAAAATGAAATATGAGTGATGTTATTATCAGGCTACCAGCAGTAAGTTGAACCACCTCTAGTGAAAAGTGTCATACAAACTTTATGCTTGTCAAGTTGAGGAGTTTCTTGTTTTTTCCATTACTTATCCGTCCAAATTATCGCTTCAAGTCTGAATATTCAGAGTTATAAAGGTTTCCCATCAAATCTATGCACTTAACTATATATGTTCCAAAAATTAGAAGCCTGGGTGAGATACTACCTATACCCCTTCGGCCATTCCTGCACAAATGAAGTATACTTCTTATGTTCCATATCTCAACTGCTGGAAGGCATAGCTTCCTCAATTCTTTTCATAATCACACTCAGACTCTGCCCACCCCCATGGCTTGATTTGACATTTGCAAAACAAATCACAGTTGTTAGGATTCCAAATATGTAACATGTTCATTGAAAAATAGAGTAATAACCATTTTGGTTTCTTTAAGTCATCATGGCTTAAATGTGCTTTTAGTCCTGTATATATAGATAGTATTTCCAAATGGAGATTTCCTCAAAATTAAAGAATCACTAAAATAAAAATAGCATATATTAAAGGGATGAAAATGTTCCATAATTTTTTGGCTTGAGAATATGATGGAATAAAGCAAAATGACTCACTAAACTGTTTGCACTTCTTTGTTATGAAGCAACAGTCAGTCCATGCAATTTTGGACGCGATTTTCACTATGGGTCATCCGGAAACTGTCACTTTGTGCTTTAGTACAGGGGTAAGACTGCGTACATCCGACCCCCTTTACCCCACCGTAGGTGGGAGCCTTTGCGGCACTGGGGTAAATGAAAATGAAATGAAAATGAAACTAAAGGGATGAAAAACAAGAAATCCACAAATCTAAAACAAAGATGTTATACCTGCAGTGATTAAAATTATATTTAAGCCTACAATAGTTTTGGAAAACTTCAGCTATTAATTATCAGAGTACTGTACATAAAATCCTCTATTCTTATGTAGAAAATAATTCCAATAATAACATGTTTTCTTCTCCTTTTGTTTGCCCATCAAAGTGACTTTTGAAATTTACCTGAGCAACAAATAGCGATGGATCTAAAAGAATACAGACGCTTTGAATAAATTCTCATCATTTTCTCCACCCTCTGCTTCTCCAAAGACAAGAGCCTCAGCAGCAACCTCAGTAAAAAGAACCATGCAATACCTAACAAATATGTGACAAAAGGAAAAAGGTAAATATTCTCCATTTGAAAACAATTGGTTACTATTAAACGGAGACACGTCCCAAGCAACCCAAGTATCCAACTACTGGTAAATGAAACCAAAAAAGAACACATGATACAATGAGATGAGAGTAACACGTATGCAGCAACAATGAGATTGAGATTACATAGGCTGAAATGAACCTACCATAAACAAAGAAGAAAGGAAAAAAGAGATGAGAGAGGAGGATTGGGAAAGAAACAAGAAAGTGTTATCATTTTAGTTTTGATTTTCTTTTGCTATGTTGAGGTTAGTACTACACCAAATCACCAATTACTTTTACTAAACTGCATATATAAATATTTATTCATGTCCATATTTATGAACAAGTAATAAATTTAGCAATATTAGTTTTACTAATATTTCATTAATTGAACATAAGAATGTTTAATTCATCTTTCTTCTTAAGCAGTAAGCACAGATATTGAGGTTAGGCCTTTTACGAATAGTGAAAGTACACCCATTCACCTTCCTTATCTTCATCCCAAACATAGCCTACTACATAGGTATAATCCAAAGTTTGAGTTGAATACCAACTTGGATGTCATTCACTATAGGTTGGATACGAGGGAAAATGAAAATTCTGCATTTTGCATCTAAAATTCTTTTAAGCATAATACCTAAAATAAAAACGTAGTGGAAATTAAACAAATGAGACTAATCTTAATTTGAAAATAAAAGACATCAGAGGAGCTTATCAAACCATTATCAGAATAAAACTGGGCAGCACAAACACGGGTGAGAAGCATGACCATCAAATTGAAAAGACATAACCTAAAAGCTTTGAGAGAGATCTGTAATTTCACTCACCTGAAACCAAATAGCTCAAAATGTGACTTCTCTTTCTTTGTTACACTACAAATGAGACGAAATAGCACAAAAAGCAAACAAAAAAGGAAAATGTATCAATTATACCTGCTGGCATGTCTCAGAAAGGACCTAAATATAGTAGATTACACTACTATATATCCCCTCACATGAACTTCATGCTTGACTTTTTTCTTTCAGCACTCTTCAGGTAGTCCCCAGAGAGAATACTCATAATCTGATGTAAAGCTAAAAGTCAGTTTTGTCTCATCAAAATATTAGTAAAAACTAAAAAAAATGTTTTAAAAATTAAGATAAATATCATTCAACTAAGAAACATGTTAACTATACTTGACTAATTATTTTTGGTGTTCTAATATCCTTCTTCCAAGGTATAATAAGAAAGACTTTGGTCAAATGTAGATAGACAAACTATAGTACAAAGCGTCATAATGTGAAAATTGTACCTCTTTAGATAGACAACATGTTAACTCCAAGGCACCCAGAATTATTTTTAATGAAAAAGAGTGAATATTAGCTTTAGACTTTTCTGACCACATATCCTTTGTAGGCTTTCACAATTTATATGTCCTCTGGTGTGCTCAAGAATCCTAAATATCAACACTATATATGAATACCAGCAAAACATTGTAATGTCAATAAGTTTCATACCTTTTTTGACAATCAACTTTCCTAACTTATCATCATTCAATAGGTTAAAAAATGGGTGAATATAGGATATGAAGCTGCTGGTTTGATATAATCAAGCCTTCAATCAATTTTCTTTATTTCAAATGCTTTAAACTATCAAAAGTAAGAAAGATCACCTAAGTATTTTTTATCAAACATGACATATGCAAACAAAAAAGAAACACAATTGGAAGTACAAATGGACTGTAATAAAGTCAGTGTGCTTAAAACAGAAGTATGTACTAATCACATGCATGCTTTAAACTTGCGTATGTAATGGCAAAAGGCAGGTTCATACTATTGACTTACTCATGATCAAGTGAATAGGAAATTGCTCCAGTATAGGAAATGAATCAATGAATAATAAATTGCTCCAGTATAACCAATGAATAAGAGATATATATCTGGTTCATACTATTGACTAAACAATAGTATATGTACCCGTTTTCCTCAGCACTTTATGAGAATTCTATAAATATCCCTTCATTGAATAAAAAGTGAATAAGAGATACGTACCTGTTTTTTCTCAGATTTAAATTGCTCCAATATAAAAAATCCAGCCATTTGTTCTTTATGTACTCAGAATATACAATAAGATTCCAACTTAAATTGATAAATTTAATTTCCTATTAAATAGATAATAGAAAATTATATACATTATCTCACACATTGTGAAAAAGAGCTTCACTTTTTATAGAGGGGCATATTCAGGATTAGGATTCAAAACAAAAAATCTCATTGTGACATTTTTACAAACACAATAAACACACTCTAAAATTGAGAATCTTAAAAGTAAATATTTTCACACTCCATCTCAAATTAAAAGCAATTGAGTGAACACGAAAATATGTATAAAATATGAACTATACATAAGCATATAATATATTTAATCATCAAATATGTCACATAAAAAGCATGATTACCTGCATATCGTGGAAGAGATGCATTGTGTAATGGGAGTGGCAATAGGAAATGGAAATTGGGGGCTAATCAACGATTACCTCCAGTCCTCTTGGGTTAGCTTTCTCTTTAGTCATGTCTTTAACTTAATGAAAGACAAAAATCGATTCCAACCCTACACAATCAATACAAAATCAAAATCGATTCACTAACCATAAGAAATTGATTCCATCCCTTTTAAACCAATTGAGCCATACTTAAAAAAACGCAAAATTGAACTGTAAAAAAAAGAATAAACAGAGACAATAATCAATACTAAACCTAATTAATAAGAGGAATCAAATCAATCAATACATTCAATACGACTTTACATTAGATTAATAGGGGAAAAAAGATTAGTGAGAGATGAATGAACTAATTAACCTTATGGTGAAAAGAGCTTCGACCTTCTAGGTTAAATGGAAATTAACGATTCTGAAGATGGCTAAATCATGTGGGAGTATCCAGAGCAAATCAGCGAAACCGTGCAGGATTAACATGGAAAGCTGCTAATGAAATCGAAAATGAGAGGTGGTTGTGTGGGAGGATTACCAGGCAGAGTGATGCTCGTCACTGGACGCAAATAAAAGAAACTCACAGGCCAGGAGAAAAACCAAGCGCAGAGGGCGTGAGAGCAAAACCAAGGAATCAAGGAGCCTATGCGCAAGACTAAATAAGGGGTTTAGATATTTTTGGCAAGGGAGCAGCTCACACATACGTTTGAACAGTGCGAAGGTGATCCTTGTCAATAGATTCGTCGGACACGGGAACTCAACGGAAGGCACCAAGACGCAGCACTAAATGGGATTTGCCGTCCAACTGTTTTAACGGGAATGGAACATCTAACGACCTTAGGCACATAATATATATAGTAAGATAAAGAGGACTGCTCAGGTCCCTCCGGAGGGACGGGAGCAGCCGTCCGAACTTCACTGTTTGGGGCGGTTCCCGGTGGAATTTTTCGATGAAATTTTTTGAGCATGTTCCTCATCAAGTCTAGTTTGTCCATACCAAATTTCATCTCAAAATTCGACCAGGAAGGCAGTCAAATAAATTCTTGAAACTTACTGCACTTTATATATGTGCAGAATGTGCAGTAAGCTTCAAGAATTTATTTGACTGCCTTCCCGGTCGAATTTTGAGCTGAAATTTGGTATGGACAAACTAGACTTGATGAGGAACATGCTCAAAAACTTTCATCGAAAAATTCCACCGGGAACCGCCCCAAACAGTAAAGTTCGGACGGTCCCTCCCATTCCTCCGGAGGGACCTGATCTTTTCTGAAGGTATAAATATTTAATGGAGTTGAAAGTATAATGAGCAAGTTAGGATTCCAGCTTAGCTTAATATGCTTAAAGGGATATTGCTGGTTGAAGTTCATAAGCCAAATAACATGCCTTAGTTGGTAGTTGGTACAATTACTACAAATCGAATTTGTCTCATCACTTCGATTTTTAATTATTCAATCATTTTTTAGAAAAAAGAGAATAAAACATGTGCACTAATTGATCGCTATCTTGATTGATGCGTGCTTGAGGATGACAAATTAGTGTTACATTAAGTTCGGAGTTTGTCAAAGCTTTGAAACACATATCCATGATAGTGATGGGAGGTTTGGAGCATGATTAGGGTTCTCCACAATCTAAATATGTGGAACCCCCACCCCAAGGTATGAGATCTCAACCCAACTACCTCACTCAGTCACCATTGAGTTACCCGTGTGGGTGTGATTATCGACTTATTGTTCTCTAGACATAGCACTACAAAACAACTTTGCTTTGATTTCTGTATAAGGTTACGTCTTTAAAGAATTTGATTATACGGAGTAATTGATTAATTGAGGATTTTGTTTCAAAAAGCGTGAGGGTAGTACTCATGGGCGTGTTTGACATTCAGCAGTTAGCGATTAGCGGATAGTGGTTTATGTTAGCGGGTTGTCAATACAGATTCAGTCGGCGGGTTTGACTAGCGGAATAAGTTGGCGGGTTTTTCAGAAGATGTTTGGTAATTTAGTTGTTTGGCCATAAAATTAGTAGGAAACGTCATTTTTCAAAACGCCAACCCAAAACTCTCCTATTAGCAGCGTTTCCATTTCAACGTTTCCGTCCAAAAACGCTAGTGCCGAACAGCTATTTAATTTACCAAACAACTTTTTCATTTATTGAAAACGCTAAAAGCGGTCAAACCGTCATTTTTGGGCTAAAACGCCATTTACCAAACACCTCAATCCCCTGCATAATATACTAGTCCAAAACTGGAGAGCACCATTTTAGGAATTCGCCAAATGAAAATCACTCAAAATCTCAAGATCGAGCTTGAATTGGACATTTATATTAGGGAGTATATTATATACAACTCTCTGCCCAAATTTCGAGCATTTGATTATCATAATGACATTTAGACTTCTAGTCTTCAGGTAACATCAGGTAAACTGGAGTAAAATACAGAAAAGGCCATATATGACAATCTTCAAATTTGGTGCACTTCATCAAGCCCAAAAACAACTAAACCAGGAGAGACACGTTTTCCTCCTCTGCACAATCATGTAAAACAAGGGCACATATTGAAATGTTTCTTAAGAAAATACGAAGTATAATGGTCAAATTAAAGGAATAATGACATACGAAGAATCTTTCAGTGACTAATGTTGTATTAAATTTTAAACTGTAATCATTGAACATGTATAGTAATTTTAGTTACACTTTTATCTATGTTTTTGTTTTATTACGGAGTAATATTTTAGGGAAAAATTCCCAATTAATTGAATTAAACACATCACTTGCAAAAACAAAAGCAAACTCAACAACAACAAGACCAATATAAGATATAAAGTTGTACGAGTAACAAATATGTCTTGAAAAAATCTGTTTGTACTTTGTACACGTTTTTTGTACACGTTTTGTGTACACACTCATCCTAGTTGTCTGTCCAACTAGGCAATTCTTTAAGAAACTGCATTGGACAGACAACTAGGGGGTGTGTACACAATACATGCACAAAAAACGTGTACACTGAGCAACTCTCAATATGTCTTTCACCCAAGTATGAGGACATGTACACCCACCAATTATTGGAAAATTTCTAGAACTCTACAAGATTGTTGGTGACCATGTTTTTCAATTTATCAGACTTATCAACCAACATTTTCACCAAATACGTAATTTTTTATTCACGCACTGAATTGTATAATAATAAGAAAAAATAAGGTTAAAGTTATTTTTCTGGCTATATTGGCTGAAGTTAGTGTTGATGATCATTTTAACTATTTTTCATATAATTTTTTCTTTATTTTATTAATAAAAAATATTTTAAATATAATTTTTTTCGTAAATCAACAGAATTAGCCAACACAGAACTTCAGCTAGAACTTCATAAATTTCAGCAGAATCCACCGATTCAGCCAATTTCACTGTTATCAAACAAGCTCTACATAGACTACATATACTATATTATGCATATTTGTTTCAACTTTACATATTTAGTTATATGAGAATAAAGGTTGTTGAGTATATTTATACTCAGGCATATACTTAAAGACTACATTTCTTCTTTTTCACTTTAAGAACTCATCGCACTTCAACCAGCTGAGGGTGTACATTGGGCTATATATTGATTTTTTTGTTTTGAAAAATTTTTACACATTTTTTTTTCACCCTAACAATTTATAAATTTGAAATTTGGAGCCCCTATAGTGCCTATACCCACCAAAACGTACGTTGCCTCGAAATTATCATTTGCATGCCTCTTTTTAGGTAATTTTACACCATGTGCATGCTAATGAATTGAAGATGAGATTATTAATTATACGGAGTATTATAATCAGGGGCGGACCCAGAAAATTCATCTTGGGGGCGAAAATATTTTTTGGGGGTGAAAATTGTTTTTTTGAGACGGCAGAAATTATTTTTTCGTATATATATATATAAACTAATTTTTTTGTTGGGAGGGCGGTAGCCCCGGGGTAGAGTTGTTCGCACCTTATTATAATATGTTTAAAAAACACAAGAAAATTGTTAAGTACCTTAATAGGAGGAGGAACAGACATGTGGTGGTCATGCTTCCTGTGGCGGTTGCGACTGCGGCTGCCATGAAGAAGATCATCATTGTCGTTATTGTTGTCGAGGCTGTAACGAGGCAACTCAGTCTTATGTTGTTTCCGGTTATCTCTGGCCTGAGAGAAAACTACTGTGTAACTTATACTCTCACCTTCTCCTCTCCCTGGCTCCTTATCCCATCCCCCAAATTGTGGCACTGACATCCCTCCCCTTCTCTGCAGTTGTTATGATTATTAATAGTATTAGTATTGCTTAATAGGAAGTAATAATGAAATAGAACTTGAGTTTTCAATTTCTCATAACAGCATACATTTTATGAGCATGTTAGGCAATGTCTGCACTGATAAATTATTATCCCCCTCCGCCCTGTTTTATACGTCATACTTTTTTTTTGGATTGTCCCAAAATAAGTGTCATATTTCATTTTTTGGAAAGAAATATGTTATCTGCATCATTTCCCTTTATACTCAAATCTCAATCACAATCTTTACTTTTTCAATCACTTTATTAATAATTGAACCAAATTAAAGTAGGACACACAAAATAGGACCAGTATTGTATTGATTTTCTAGGTGCATATACGAATGATTAAGGCGTAGACTTTAGTGGGACCAGTTTTCTTGGTCCCCATTATTACAATTAAATGCTACGGAGTACTAAGAACTATGGGGGTATTATACTCCGTATAATAATATAATCACATTGCTTGTGGAGTTGTGGTTAACGAATTTAGAGTTGTTTTACTAATGAATTTCCTTTCTATTGTATGAAAATTTGTTTGTGATTTTTATTTTGAAAGGAGCTTCGTTCAAAAATAAGTTGAAATTTGTTTATATAACTACCCTTCTCGGTAACCGAACAACTTTACCATTCAGATCAGGGGTGGAGCCAAGGCGGGGCCTCGGTAATTGGAGGAGGCCTTGCCTCCCTAATTTTTTTTTAATTCACACACATATGAGTATAAATGAGGAAGCGGTCCAGTCCAGCTGGTCGCCAACTCACTCTCCCTTAAGGGAGGTCTCGAGTTTGAAACTCAATAAAGTGAGTTTTAACCTAGATTACTCCAGGCTCCCCCAGCATCCCTCCCCCAGACGCCCCCTGGAAAAAAAAATGTGAGTGTATAAATATGCATATGCTGAAAAACAATACGATAACATATTAAACATTGGCCTCCGTAAAATAATTTCCTTAAGCTCGACATCCTTTAGATCAAATCCCCGGCTTCCCCACTGACCAGGACGTACTACTAGATTTGCTAAGAAAAGTAAGAAATCTGGAAATTCTGGCAAGGCTTTCACTACATAAACTCTTAATGCTACTTGCACTATACCCATGTGGCCATATACGTACGAAACTCCAGAGGATCCAATAATAAGTGCAACATTCTAAATTTTACACTATTCGTATGTTCTACTTTGACTACATTTTATTTTGAAAAAAATATTACTAAATTTGTCTCATTGTAAATTTTCAAAATCTGATTTTTTAATTTTTTTTACTAATACAAGGTTATATGCTTGGATGCCTTGGGCTATATGCTAATACGATGAAGTTAACTCTCTTGTATGGAAGAGAATAAACGACATAGTTATTTAATACGGAGTACTTCGTAATTGAATAATGTTTCGATCAATTAATACAACACTCTTTCCTCTAAATTCCTTTTCAGATTTCCACTCCGACTTGGTAGAATTCTTAAGAAATTGAAAGTTGCGAAAATTAATTCAGATGAGAAAATAATATTAATTGCAGAACCATATTCTTAAAAGAGATTGATGATAAATTTCGAAACGGTGAATTTATTCATGCAAACAATTGGTATTCTATTGAGCCGCAGGAGCTGCAAAAGGAGAAACAATTATCAGAAAATATAATCACAACATTGATAAGGCTGTCAAACTACACGAAAGAAATTAATTGGGCATTATAACAAGTAATTATATATAATTATTATTAATTGATTCTCAAAACTAATCATTATCAGTATGCATTACTTACCTCCCTATGGCCATGGAGATCCATTGGGATTGGGGGGGTGAGACCTTAAGGTTTTGAGGATAGAGATGGAAGAGAATGGTAAGGATGTAATGTTCTTCATTTATTCACCAATATTTATACCCCCTTCCTCCATTTTCTCTGGATCTCATATTCTCATGATTCAATAAAATTATTTGCCACATGTTTCAGGAAAATTTCTTGTTTTACAAAAGTTAGATGATACACGAGATCTTAATTTTAATTTTAAAAATTTCACAAAAACATTCAGCTATATATACATTTATAATTATTATATAGCTGTAAGGTTATTGTACATTTTTTGGATAACTATTGGATCCTTCAAGTAAATTCGGATTTATCCAAAAAAATGTTGTAACTGGTCCTTTTGGTTATGTGATGGTGTACAATATACATTTAAATTATATGCATAAATATGTTTCATTGTAAGACATGTGTACAATAGAAATTAGAAACTTCACAAAGATAGTTTACACCATAAGACAATACAGTATGTCTCTATAGCACTACTTTTGCAGTTTTGCCCAAATCTACACTTTTAATTCTTATAATAATTTCAGTAGGTATAATATGGAGTAAAAGATACATATGTATCACATTCCTATTATGGGTGGACACAGGCTAGTTTCAAGTAAGGGGGTCATAACCTGAATACGATAAACCGATTCTAATTTCGGGACGAAGCAGGTTTTCAGTGTGTCATAAACAACGAAACACGTTAGTTCCACTTCAAGACCCATTTTGGAGGAATTGTTTCGTACTGAAAGAACAAGCGACGGCCCGATCAGTATACCCGCCTAATTCTGATCTGGATTTGGAACCCACGCTTTATAACATTCATAAACTCCTAAAGTCATGCCACATTTTTTGAATCAAATGGACCTAAAAAGAACATGCGTTTAATATTTCTTGTTGCAAGATAGATGCAAAAGGACCTCTTAGTGTGTTTCACACCATTTTTATAAAAGGGTAAATTCCCCATGATATACCTAACTAACTAATTTAATTAAGCAGAGCAACATTTGGACAAATGGCATAGAAAAGTCCACCCCTTTAGCCATCTGAAGTTCAGACAAATTATCAACATCATCAAGCAGACAAAACCCAAAGAGATCTAACCTTCTGAAAAAATGAGCTTAATTCTCCTTGAATTGTAATAATAAAATGCATCAAGAAAGCATCTTCTCAAATAGTCAAATGGAATTTAGCAACAGCGCAACTCTAAATTAACTGACCAAAGAGGATATTAAATCATTGTTACTATAAGCTAAAATTTGACATGACGATTCACCAACTCAGGCAAACCATAAGGTACACATCTATCTATCTATGTTACAAATATAAGAGAATATGCAAGACTTACATTCATACAGCATCTGCAAAGATGAACAAGTCAACAGCTATAACCCCGCACCTCAAAATCTCAGTTAACTGTGATAAATTAATGCAGCACATCATCATCATTCCAGACGAAGAATTTCATGTACAAGTGCGCCACAGCAATCTTTCTTTGTATCTTTCCTTTTTAATAAAAGTTATTCGCGAGGCCGTGCAAGCCATAGAGCGCTTAGTGCACGGAGGCGGGAGAAGTAGTCATTGATGGCAAGAAAAGCTCGGGCTGATTGGCGAGTGGTCAAAATGCTGAGCAGCTTTTTCAACGTCTGCTGCCGGAGCTTATCAGCCTGACACACAAAACCCTCAAGAGCTCCAACCTTTCCCATTGCCATTGCCATTTGACCCATATAATTTGCGACATTCCCTGACGAGCTTGAAGAGCTGAGAGTCCCAATCAGTGTCTCGGCCAAAGATTGCTGCAACGAGTCCATCCCTTGGGACAAGGCATCTTCCCCCTGTTGAGATGACTCTTGCAGGTGGTTGATGGCTGTTAACTGCTGCTCCGTCAATGGCTCTAACTGGTTTACTAGCAACTACATAAGAAAACATGTCAGGGAGCATTTGGATAGAAAGTACTACATCATCTGATTATCATCACTATCACCTTTTTCCATTATCACCTTTTTAAATCTCAACTAGTTGGGCCCGAAGAAATGAAATTTAGGCTCCGTTTGGCTGCATGGAAATAAGTTGCGGAAAACGTTTTCCACAAAAATAAGTTGTTCTATACTTAACTAAACATGCAATTTAACCAGGCACGTAGATTAAGAAAAAGAAAAATGTGGTTGAAATTTATTTAGAGAGAAATATTATGAACCACATATTCACATAATGGTTTCCTTAAAAGAAAATGACGATAATTTAGAGACGAACCATAAAGGAAAGTATGTGGCTGTTTTAGGGACAGAGGGAGTGTCATGCTTATCACACAAAAAATAGAAAAATATTGCTTCAGGAAAATGGCTTCATCAAGAATATCCAGAAAACATTTTCTTGGAAGATATTTCTTGTAAACATATAGAGCTCTAAAAGAATAGTCCACCATAAATTCATGCAAAAAAGATTAAACAAGATGCAACGCTCTATGTCTGAATCGTGATGCTTCCTGTCATAACCTTTGTATGAATGAATAGTGAGACCAATTTCCAAAACCATTATCACCTTAGGATATTTCCACTTGCATGGACAATATCATCCCATGGTGATGAATTGAGATATAGTTATTACAGTCATGTACCCCTACAAAGCATGTAACCTGACACTCCTGACTAAAGTATCTGGAAACTAGTTGAAAAGCTAAAAGCAAAAAGAGAGTTGCATTAAAAGGATCATTAAAAGTTGTGATGACAACTGCTATATCCACTTCAAAATTGCAAAAAGACTTGATGTTATCAAGAAAGAGGAAGCATGCAAAAGAAAATCCACACACTCACTACTCGCACGTTCACTGTTTGAGGGGTCAAATGAAGTATGGGCCTCTCACCTTAAGGACTTCAGATGAACGAAACCCACCCAACCAAAGGAAGCATCTTTCAGCAGGAGTTTTCCACATGCCTGATAAAATATGGAAGACGTCAGCTTTTGCAGCATCCGCTTTTATCCTGAAAAGGTCATCATAGTGTGCCAAGATGCTGTCGACAATAATGCGAAGTTCAACATCACCAGCATGGGCATTAACAGCTCCTCTTAGCTCACTAATTCTTCGGTTTTGTTCATCCGTCCACCGCGAGTATTCTAAATCAAATGTCATGGATCCTAGAAGAAAAAAAAAGTTCGTAACATGAATTCAAAAGCAGAAATCTGATACAGGCATATCCATTACTATTATTATAATTATTGTCACCACCATCCATAGTTGTCATGGCGCATGACGATCACCATGGCTCAAAGGCATTTTTCATGGCGCATGGCGATGATGCATATACGAATAGCGGCATAGCGCATATGACCTATGGCGACGACCATTTTTTCATGGAGATGGCGCATATGGCGCGCGCCATATCTCACCATTAACTACTATGCCACCATCATCATTAATTAGTTAGTAGTAATTTCCTATTATTATTATCATTATCATCACCACCACCACCATCATAATTATAATTTTCTATTTCAGCTTTAGTTAGATTCTTATTAGTCTCTAGCCTTATGTTTTCCATATAGGGGTTTCAACTTTCAAGAATAACCACATTATTAAAATATATTTCTATACTTTGCATTAACAGAATAACAGGCAAGTATTTACAGTCTGCACTTCGTGGGGAAAATCAGAACATAAAACCCAAAATGAGATATTGTTAGGACTTGGATAAAAAAGTACACATACCACTTCCGCTCATAGATTGTGATTGATCTCCTGAACTTGAAATGAATACTCCCTTCATTGAAAAAAGACAATGCTTCATAAATTACACATGCTCAGTTACAAACACTGGTAGTGCCGTCATTTACTTTTCACTTCCATTTTAAATTTTGAAGATCAAATAGAACTCCAAATTAAGTGCTCAAAGTACCTGTTGTCTAGCGCGCTGAAGCTCCTGCTCGAGTTGAGTGAGCTTTATTCTACTGTTCTCTAACTGTTGCACATATGCCTACATCAGCAATGCCACATGAAACGAATGAGTTGAAGAGTCGAATATCATCATAATATAGGCAACAAAACCAAGGGAACTAAAAGACATATTAAGGAATAATGTAAAAAATGAGACTCCCATATTTTCATTGGACAAATATAGGATCACATTTTATTTTTTCTAAGTCTAGCCGTAAGGTTGATAGTAATAGTGGGTTATGGATAATTGTTGTCACTGTTGGTCTCTTGGAGTTTGATGTAACGATCTGAATCCTAATAATATTAATATAAGCAGTTTTCCTTCAAAAAAAACTAAAATAAATCAAACTTTAACTTTCTCTCCCACACTACTTCCCAACTGTCACTGCTGGTGCCCAGCTACCCGCTGAGACCACTTCCAAATCCAGGAAAATAGTTCTGAAAAGAAGTCGCATGAAAATTTGTCCACACATTATTTCAGGTCTCCAAAAACATATTACCCAAGAAGTAACAATTTTGGCAAACGCCTTTATTTTTCCCTAAATCTGACAATTCAAATGCCAAAAGAGAATTTATGCGAACACAAGGACACACTCAAGTACTCACATTAGCGATAGTCTAAAACTGATTCTAATTCACGGTTATTACACATCATAATTCATTTAATTTTATTGGTGCTATTTTCCTGCAGTTCATAAAATAGAGGCATGACAACAAAGGCATCATAAAAGAACTTTTTCATTTCACTGAAGCAAGGTGCCAATGTCCACAAAAGCTTGCTTCTTCATTATCATATTACTTTCAGATTTTGCAAAGTGTTCCACCAAAAAGATTTATAGTAGATTAAGTTTTCTCATAATCTAGTAATTCGTACTAGTAGATTTATAGGGGTGGATCAGGTACAAACAGTGCTTATTGTCCAAATATTTGTACGATGCATCTTTACGCTATTTGTATTGCATAATAACGTTTAAAGTGTTGTATATTACTCTGCAATGAAATAAGCAGTTGCATATTAACGTCCAAAGTACTGCTTCTGAAAATAGTTCGGTTTTATTATCAAAATATCATTGTGCACCGATAGCCTTTAGATCAACTCATCGGATGGCCAATATGAGTTTGTAGTTTGTAAATTGGAAGAAGTTTGTATTCGATCTCTTATCTCTCTCTCTCTCTCTC